TTAGTCTAAGGGGACTAACATGACTTGATGCCATTCTCCTGCTGTTTATAGAATTCTTGTTTTGTCTTTCACTTTTGACAGTTTGACTATAATGTGCCTCTGAGAGAACCTCATTAGGTTAAATCATTTGGGGAGTTTTTTTATTTTTGGTTTTTTAAAACTTTTATTGAATCATAATTTGATTATACATATTTTGGGGGTTCAGCATTGAAATATGTTGATAAAATCAATATTACTAACATATATATTGTTACAAATCATACTTATTCTTTATGCCCCTTGTCCAGTTTCTCCCTATCCCCCTCTACCTTCCCCCCACTTCTGATTACCCTAGATTTCTTCTCTACTTCTGAAAGACTAATGGTTACTCTGTTGATTTGTTGCCTAGATGACCTGTCCAATGCTGAGAGGCATGTTCAGGACCCCTACTATTATCCTAGAGCAGATGCTTCTTCTGTCACTCTGGAATGGGCTTTGTGGAGAGATATCTTTTTCTTTGGTCTCTGCTGGTGACCCTCCTTGTGTCAGTGCACTCCAGTGGCTGGTGGACCAACTGCGTGGTAGTTGTGGCATCTAGCTGCTTTCACGGCAGCCGTGGTTATGGTGGTGGCTGTGGTGAGCCACCCACATGGAGGTGATATTTTTGGTATGCTTCTTGGTGCTGGCAGTGTACCTGGTTGTTGGGGGGGGGGGTTCCAGTCCTTGCTCCATGCCTCAGGACCCTGGGCAGGCCCTGAGGCGTTGGCTATGTGCCTGATTGCAAGTGGGGGTCTGGTCCTCAGATCCTTGCCTCAGGTCCCCAGGCAGGCCCTGAGGCACTGGCAGTGTGCCTGGTTGTGTGTGTGTCGGGGGTATGGTCCCCAGGCCCGGAGGTGCTGGTGATTTGCCTGGGCTGGAACTAATTTTTTGTCTTTTGCTTATTTCTAAATTGGGGGAACTTCTTGTGGGGACCAGTACATGAGCTATGTGGTTTAGCCAAATTGCTGCTTTGCTGATGATTCCCTAGGGAAGGCCTTTTGTGCAGCTCAGATTTTAATGGTTGAGTTTATAGGTACGTCCAATTCTTCAGAGACCCAGTGAACCTGGGTTGTTTAGAAACTCTGATCTGGGCCTGAGTCTTTTCATCAAACTGCACTCCATGCAGTTCTATATTCCTAACCAGTCTCCTCTGAGTGCTCTTTCGGTGATTGGGGTGCCAGTCAGCTGTCCTTGCTGTTCCCCAGTGTTCCCCTAGTGGGCTCATCTCCCCCACCACCCATGCTGCAAACACTTCCCATGATATGGGCCATGCACCAGTCCCTTGTGATGACTCACCAGCCTCTGAGTGGCTCCTTTTTTTCAGTTGTTGTGACTCCTCACTCCTATGTGGGTCCACTTGGCCCAGGGGCCACCAAGGCCCTCTTCTTCCCTGCTGCCTCCAAGCAACTTCATCCAAAGGGCACAGCTGTGGCTTTTGCCAGCTCCTGCTCCATGCACTCAGTAGCTCCAGCCTTAAAGCAGCCATGGCACAAAATGGTCAGAGCAGTTTTTTCTTTCTTTCATAATGGCTTCTCCCACCTTCATAAACTCCATAGGTATCTCCTTCTCTTCCCCTGAGCTCTAGTGGCCCCAGCTTGGCTGTTGTTGCTTTTTTATAGTTGTAAATTGGTTGGTTAGTGGGAGAGAGAGACACTGGGGACTGTCAGAATTCTGCCATCTTGACCAGAAGCCCTATTTGGGGAGTGTTGAGCTATTTTTTTAGTAAATAGGTTTTGTATGTCTTTCTTATTTCTTCTCCTTCTGGAACTCTCATAATGCAAATATTTGTTTGCTTAATGGTGTCCCAAAGTCCTGTAGGCTTTCTTCATTGAAATTTTTTTATATATATCTGACTGGATTATTTCAAAACACCTGCCTTCAAGTTCAGAAATTCTCTTTTGCTTGATCTAGTCTGTTGTTGAAACTGTGGATTGTATTATTTGTTTCATTCATTGAATTTTTTAGCTCTAAAATTTCTGTTTGATTCTTTTTTCTATCTCTTTGTTGAATTTCTCACACAGATTGTGTATTTTCTAATTTCATTGAATTATTTGTTTTTATTCTATTTATTGCTGAGTTTTTAAAAGATTATTATTTTTAATTTCTTCTCAGGCATTTTGTAAATATTCTTTTCTTTGGGGGTCTGTTACTGGACACTTACTGTGTTCCTAGGGGGTGTCATGTTTCCTTGCTTTTTCATGTTTATGTCCTTACATTGATATTTGCCCATCTAGTGGAAAGCCACTTGTCTCAAGTTTGTGGAGTAGATTTAGTTGGGGTAGACTTTTTCCTGTACATTGGTCCTAGGATGTTAGGTGGGTGGGGTATGTTGGCTTTGGTACTGGGTAGACTCAGTAGTGTGGTGTCTCTGTAGTTTCTTCGGCTGTAATCCTCATCATGATGTCTGCTGTTGCCTCAGGTTCCTGTACTGCAGGAGTTTGTGATGGTGGTGGTATGGCTTTCCTGGGATGGGGGTGCCAAGCTGTTTTTGGGTTGGCACATTTGGGTGTGGTGGGCCGGCAGGGCATGTGGCAGGCTCAGGAGTGTGCAGGGGTCACTGTTGGGTTGGCTGTCAGGCTGGATGCAGATGTGGCCAGACAGTTGGCTGTGCAGCAGTGTCTGTGGGAGGCAGGGTTGCCACTATGCTTATTGTCAGGATTGGCACAGGTTTGCACAGGCATAGCAGGTTGGCTATTTATTCAGCTGCTTCTTTACTGTGCTGTCTGCATGTTCCCCTGTGGGGGAGGTGCCACCTGGGTTTGGATGTCACGTCTTGGTCATTCCGTCAGGCCTAGGCTTCATGCAACTGGTATAATGGTACTGCAGGCACCTGTGTGGATGTGGTAGAATCTAATATCTTCTTATGCAATAAAACTCATGCTTCTTAATAGGTCATATGAGGTGGCCCATAAGTTGGCTTCTTTCTACCTCTTCAGACTTTTTTTTTTTTTGGTGGCTGGCCAGTTTGGCAATCCAAACCCTTGACCTTGGTGATACAAAACTGTGCTCTAACCAACCGAGGTAACCAGCCAGCCCTCTTCAAATTCTTTGTTCACCTTTCAATATATATATACCCTATCCTCAAAGTATATTGAATTGTTTAGTTTTTTAAGTCAACTATGCTTTTTCTTGTTTTCAGCTCTTTGTAAGGTGTTGATATTATTAACTATTTTTTTAAGTGAGAAAACTGAGACTAGAGAACTTCTAGAATTACACCCCAGATTTCTTTGGTTCCAAATGCTTTATGTCTCCCCACCAGTGACCTTCTCCCTCTATGCCCAGATAATAATTGTGAAGTACTGATCTCCACTTATATACACACATCATATCGGGTGCCATACTTTATGTAGTTTAGTTTTTCTTTCACTTTTATTATATTGTGAGATTTTGCCTATACACAAAAAACAAAAAATTTCTTAACACCCTTATACCCAACACTGAGCTTAAGAGATAAAATCTTAAAAATATAGTTGAAGCCTCTGTGGACCTCTTTCCTCTTTCCACTGAGTAAACCATCCTAATTTTGTTGTCACTCCTATAAATGCCCTAATATTTAAAAAATTATATATGTAAATAAATAGTCTTATTTTGTATTTAAAATGTTTTTAATGTATTTTTTGAATAGGTAGTATATGATTCAAAATTCAAAAAAGGCATTAAAAGAGTATATACAAAAAATCTCTTCTGTCTGTCCCAGCCAGTCATTTTTTTTCCCCACGTACAACCAAAGATATTAGTGTTTTTTTAAATATGTAACTTTTAAAGAGGTAACACTCCAGACTATGCAACATGCCAGAGAGATTAGAGACACAGACAAGCAAATATATATTTTTTATTCTCCTCTTTTTACATAAATGATAGCATTACTATATATATCATTCCATAGCTTGCTCTTTTACTTAATTTTTATTAGTCATTGTTCCATTTCAGGGCATAAAGATTATCCTCATTGTTAAAACCACATACTGCTCCATGGTATGGATTAACCATAATTTAACTAGTTTCCTACTGATGGACGTTTAGATTGTTCAGCAGTAGTATGTTATGCTAATACATACAATGCTACAAGAACACTGTAAGCAGTTAGCGCAAGTGTGAGTATATCTTTAGGAAAAATTTGTTAAAATAGAATTGTAGATCAAGGCGTGTACCTTTGTAATTTTCATAGATAATGTTAAAATTTCCATCCAGGATTATTTTGCACATTCTTTAGCTTTATATAATTGTATAAATGGTTTCATATTGGGTATATCATTTTACAGATTGTTTTTGTTAATTTATCAAGACATTTATGAGATTTATCCATATTGGTAGAGTTTATGTCATTTATTTTCACTTCTGCGTGTTATTTCAGGCATGAATATTCCACAATTTCTTATTTGTTTCCACAACTTATTTTTATTTCCCTCTTTATATGGGCATTTAGATTATTTCAAGTATTTTGCTGTTACCAATATGCTGCAGTGAAAAGTCACGTATTAATCTTTGTTGTACACATGTTCAATATATACATATATTGCCTGAAGAAATATATATATATATATGTAATTGGTGGATCACAGAGTGTGATCTTTTTCAGTTTTATGAGTTATTGCCAAATTGCTTTCCAAGGTGGTTGCACTTCCTCCAGCAGCATTAAGTGTGTTGCTATCGCCCCATGTCTTTGTTGGCACTTGGTAATATTTGACTTTTACATATTTTTCTGCCAATATGTATGAAATAGTATCTCATTGTCATTTTAACTTGTATATCTCTGATTAATGGTATGCTTGAATTCTTTTTATATATCCATGGGCTTTTTGAGTTTTCTTTCCTGTGAATGCCCTCTTATTCTTTTCTCATTTTTCTATTGGGCTGTTTGTCTTTTTCCTAATGATTTTTAACCCTGTACTTTTTGGCTATACAACATTGTCCCTTGTGTAACAGAAAAGTATGAGCATTTTGTTGAATGCAACCAAACCTATCCTTTTTGTTTTTCCTAGGCACAGTGTCTTATAAATGTAAGTGGTGACGCAGTGGTTTTTGTTCGTGAATCTGACTTAGAAGTGGTGTCAACTCAGCAACCTACTGCCACTTGCCAGCCGTCATGCACGGGAGAAGTTACAACCTGAATCAAATTAGGAAGAGCTCAACTAAGTGAAATTCATCTGTCTCCATTGTATTGTTATAAATTATCTTTGTAGATTTAAGAATATTGAACTTAATTTGAGATAATTAAGAAGGAATTAGCACATTTTGAGCAGATTTGATTTGCCTGAAATCTCTTGGAAGCATGAGAATTTTCTAATCTTGATGTTTTCTTTGCCTGGTGTAGACAGACAGGCCCGTGGAATCTTGACCCTTCAGTATGTTAGGATAAATTTCTAAGAGAACTGTAGCAAAGATGGGAGCTATTTGTAATTTATGTTGATTTTAATAAAATCATAATTTAAAAAATGAGAAGGGAGGATAGTCAGGAAACTAGGATAGGGTAGCTAGACAGGATAGCTACCTTAATGTAATTTGAAAAACTAAGGAAGAAGTTCACAAATTGGTAGTGAATAAGCAGTCTGATCGGAGAAGTATGTGGGGAAAAATAGAGAAAAGGTTTCAGAAAACTCTGCATTTCTTAATGTGTTTTGTTTTGGTGAGAAATTTGGTAACAGCTGAAACAGGAAAGTATTTCAGCCATCTTTTGAAAAGAAGTTAAAAGTCTGCAACTTGTATTTGTAATTCATCCCAACTACTGTAAAAGAAAAATTACTTTATCAGAGCTGGTGTTCTTTCATTGAAAATTTTAATAATATCTCTAAGAAGGGGGGAAATTCTTATATAATTTTATAACTTGCCACACTTGAGTTAGTATTTAATGTTTAGAAGAGGCTCCATTTCAACTGAGAAGAAAACTTCAATGAATTTTGTTGAAGTAATAAAAATATAGTTGATCTTGTAGGAACATTAGTTATTTTCTAATAAAATTATATTGCACTCCTTCCAAATAAACAGAATTTTAGTAATGTCTTGGGGATTTTTGATGGTGAGTTAGACTGTATTTGGCATGGAATTTGGAAATATAACTTGAATGTAAATATGCTGCAAATATGTTGAATACAAAGAAATACTTTCTCTGTCAATGCCAAATGGCCACTGTAAATGAACCTTCAATATTACATTCCTACTTTGCATCATAAAATGTCTTTATAAAAATCATGATTTTGTTCTCCCAGGACAGCAAACTGCCCTAAAGATTGAGTCATTTTCTTGTTATCACAGGTGTCAATATTATTTTGTATTTTGTTTATAATTTTATTTTTTAAATAAAATATTTATAAAGATAAACTTCAATATTCCTAAGTGTCTTTTTGCATCCTTGATATAGTACTGTCTGTTTTCTGAATCACTTTCCATCTGATCATCTCCATTCCTTCAGTTAATGAACATCTGTTGAGCGCCTTGGTTTCGGTTTTGGAGATGTGTGTATGTGTATGGAGGCACTTTCATTGTTTTGGGCTAGGCAGGTATTCATTCAAAAATTATTTATTGAATGCCTACTAGATGGCTGGGCAGTTTTATGCAGTGAACAGAACATAATTTCTTGTTCTCATAGAGCTTACAGTCAGTGACTATCCAAGTAAATAATTTGTGAAGTATGCCTGTAGTGTTTTAATAATTTCTAATATTTATTAATGCTTACTGTGTACCAGGCAGTCAAATAAAATTTTTATTAACCCTTTAAATCTTCATAGAAACCCTATTGTTAAGTACCATTTTGTCATTGAGGAAGCTGAGTGGATAGTTTGTGTGTTACCCAAAAGCACAATAAATAATGGAGCCAAGATTCAAGCACAGGCAGTCTGACTCTAAAACTTACACTAATAAGTGAGAAGACGTGTGTTACTTGGAATGAAGGTAGTTTCCTGTAGGAGATGGTATTTGAGCTCAATCAAGGAAAATAGTTCACTGAAATTGATTTTGTTCATAGTTTTACTCATCCATCCATCCATTTGTTCATCCATCCATTTCTCTATTCAGCAGCTATTTTGTGATTGCCTAGTATGTCCCAGAGTCCTTTCTAGGCAGAGGAATAATAATATAGCTGTTTGTAAGCAAAACCATTAAGATTTTATGCACTGCCCACCATGCTGACTCCTACTTAACCTCATTTGTTTGTTTCACTGACCAATTATATATCAATGTTAGGGCAAGCTGTAAAAGGAATGTAGGTTTTGGGGAATGAATGATTTATTACAGCAGATGGTGTTAGTGGTGTCCGTAGTCTCAGTGCTAACATCACAAGACCCCTCCACCTCATGAATCACGCGATCCCTGGTGAATGATGTTAACTTATTTTTCTTAAGATGTTTCCTTGAATATATTTTTAGTAACAGGGGCTTTTGCTACATAAACGTTGTTTAACTCCAGAGAACTGGAGCTCTAATCTTCTGTAAACATCTGATTCTTCACTGTGTGTGGCTTTCCTATATGTAAGTCACCCCCATTAATATCTCATTACTGAATGGACCTACCCACTTCCTTCTTTGGTCTCAAAGAACCGTCTCAATTTCAAGGGCATTATATTTAACCCACTCCTTGCACAGTAGTGAGTGCTGTTTTGGGGCCATGTCCTGCACAGGTATGTTAATGCTAAGACTTAATCCATAAAACAAGCTGGGTGGCATTATCTCCTTTTTAGTATAAACAATTGTATATTCAACAGAGACCCAAATTGATTTGTCAAAGCTGGAGTTTCTAGCCACTCAGCCTTGCTGCCTGTGCTCATGTGGGCCTGTTTGTTCACGTGGGTTACATTTGAAGCTCATGCTAAGATTAGCTCCTTCCAGAAAGGCTAATGTTACCCTATACCTCAAGAGCTGCTGCTGTTCACTGTGTGTATTCCCCCAGAAAAATCATCTGAAGTGGATGTGCTGGAGCTTATTCTTTTGGAAACACTGAGGGCATTTACAGCATGCTTCATATCTCCATCCTTCATCGCTGCTCCAAATGTAAACACCACAATTTAAGCAATACCTCTATGTTAAATTAGCTAAAGTCACTGTCTCACTTCCTCCACCTTCTGCTCTTCCCATTTCCTGCTCTGCCCCCAAATTTGAATATGCCAATAATCCAAGTATTGGATTGCAGTATTGCAGTATTGGATAGTTGGCAAAAGTGGGGGTTTTTTTCCTTCTTTTTTTAAGTCATATGCGTAGAATGTTTCATAAATGCATAAATGGGATCAAATACACAGTATTTAAATAGAGCAGTTTTTTAAAAAACGTTTTTGCCAGCTTTTCCTTCTTCCCCGTCACGTCTCTCCCAATTCATGTTAATAACCTAGTATTTACCTTTACATATTTTTAAAAAGCTGATAAGTATAATTTACGTTCAGTAAAATCCATCAAAATGTACAGTTTGAATTTTGACAAGTAGATTTAGTCATGCAACCAAGATATAGAACATTTCCATCACCAAGAAAGTTTTCTTCTTTTCCTTTGCAGCCAGTCTACTTCCCCTTCCATGGAAATGGGATCTTGTGCTTGGCAACTTGACAACATAATGCTTTTGCAATGCATCTATGCATGGACAACATTTTGGCTAGCATGAATAGAGCTTTTTCATCTGAGTTTGCACTTCTCTGTGAAATTTGCAATTTCTGTTATATGAGGTTGACTTTTTCTTGATCGGCCCTGTGTGTGACAAGTTTTTCTTTTATTTTGTTGTCTATCCATGCAGTTTATGGCAGTGTTTACCATATCTAGACTTTTAATTTTATTATGGACTATGTGACTATCTTTCCTTTTTAGGTTCCCTTAGGTGAAATGATGTCCCTTCTCCCCTTGATTTTTTGGGCTATCTTGAGGGTTCATCAGATTTAACACATCCTAAATTGCTCTAATCTCAGTGGCTCCCCACCAAACTTGCTATCTTTCAGTATTATTTCCATAAGTGTCATGACTACTTCACCAGTTTTAGCTTGAGCAGAAACCTGGGGGATCCGAAGTCATGCTCTTTCCACTACATCACACCTAGTCTCACAGAACCAGATGCATAAAGATGGGGAGATTTGAAAATGTGTATTGTGTAAAAGCAACATATTCATTTACAAACACTCTGGTAGGATTTTTATTTTCCCCCCAGGGAAGCATCTTTTACAGGGTACCTTGAGAATCTGAGCTAAGCTCTGAAACTTTTCCCCAGAAAAATAAGCACACACATGAAAATTTTCATACTACTTCAGGAGGTTTATTGAAACTGCTTCATTGACCTCTGGCCAAATGAGCCAGGCTGAAGATGTTACGAATGATTGATGAAATGCTATCCTAAAAAGTTTGGCTTGTTTCCTGGTAGAAAAGCCAAAGTATTTTAAAGACTATATGTATTTTTTAAAATTATTTTTTTGAAAAATTTTTCTTGACAAAAAATTGTACATATATTTACTGTGCAACATGTTTTGAAATATGTATATATTGTGGGGTGACTAATGAGCTAATTAGCATACCTCACATACTTATCATTTTTTGTTGAGACCACTTAAAATCTACTCTCAGCAATTTTCAAGAATTCAATACATTGTTATTAACTCTATTCACCATGTTGTACAATACTGTAGACCTCTTGAACTTATTCCTCCTGTATAATTGAAGTTTTGTACCCTTTGCCCAGTATCTTCCCAGCGCCCTGCCCCTGTGAACCACCATTCTACTCTCCCCTTCTATGAGATCAATTTTTACAGTATTTGACTTTCTATGCCTGGTTTATTTCACTTAAGAATGTCCTCCAGTTTCGTGGATGTCATAAGTGACTTGATTTCCTTTTTTTAAAGTCTGGATGGTATCTCATTTTGTATATGCACTACATTTTCTTTATCTATTCATCCATTGGTGGACTCTTAGGTTGATTTCACATCTTAGCTATTGTGAATAATGCTGCAATGAACATGGGAGTGTGGATATCTCTTTGACATGCTGATTTCATAACTAGTAGTGAGATTGGTGGATCATATGATAGTTGTATTTTTAACTTTTTGAGGAAACTCCAGACCGTTTTCCATAATGGCTGTACTGGTTTACACTCCCATTGACAGTGTGCAAGGGTTTCCTTTTCTTCACATGCTTTCCAACACAGACTACATTTTTAAATATAAAAAATAGAAATATAAGAAAGGTTCCTCTGCTCTTTGAAAGTAAGAGTGTTATGTCTGTACATATTCTTTTAAATAAACATTTGTTCACTGGAGTAAAAAAAAAACAACTATTACTAAATATTAAAAAAAAACTCTCAAAATATCTATGGTAGGCAGAAAAACCAACCCCCAAAGATGTTCATGTCTTAATCTCCTGTGAATATATTACATGACAGTAGAACAGGATTTTGCAGATTTAAGGTTAAGGACCTTGAGATGGTGAGATTATCCTGGTTTATCTGGGAGGGTCCTAGAATTTGGTCACATGAATCATTAGAAGTGGAAAAGAGCTGTAGAAGAGGAGGCCAGAGAGATTCTATGTGAGGTGCACTTGACCTGCCATTACTGATTTTGAATAAGGAGGAAGAGGGCTACAAACCAGGAAATGTGAGTTGCCTCTAGAATGCTGGGAATGGCCCTCAGCCAGAAAGGAAATGGGGATCTCAGTTTTACACCACCAGGAACTGAATTCTGCCGAGAATTTGAATAAGCAAGGAAACAGATTCTCTCCTACGGTCTCTAGAAAGGAACACAGTCCTACTGGTGGCTTGATTACAGCCTGGTGACTCATGTCAGTTCTGGCCTTCTGAACTGTAATGTAGTAAGTTTTTGTTGTTTAAGCTGCTAAGGTTGTGTTAATTTTTTATGATAGAAATAAAAAGCTAACATAAATTCTTTTAAAAGTTAAACTATGGAGCCTGGCTGAGTGCACGCTGATCAGAGAGGTGCTCCCCCAGAGCGGCCCTAGTCCCATGGAGACCAAGTGCCCCACGGTGCCGGCACATGACCAAGCAGGTAGGCCTCGCCACCGCCAGACGCCATCCCCAGCCTGGCTGAGTCCACGCTGACTAGAGAGGCACCTCCCTGGAGACGCCTGAGACCCATGGAGACCACACACCCCAAAGCACCTGCGCATGACCAAGCAGGTAGGGCTTGCTGCTGCTGGACCACACCCCCAGCCCAGCCAAGTGCATGCTGACCAGAGAGTTGCCCCCTGGAGAAACCCAAGACCTGTGGCAACCACGTGCCCAAGGCGCCAGAGGGCAATCAAGCAGACACTGAGGCAGCTGTGCCAAATTGGCAGCCACAGCGGGATCCTAGACAGACAATAGTGTTGAACCAGTGGACCATGAAATCCCCTGCCACAATGACTAAACATCAA